CTGGCGATCCCACACCATCTCAATTTCTCTCCACCCATTGCCCTACACGCCCCACTCCAGGCACAAACAGACCCCCTGGGGGCTCCATCTCAGGGGACTGACCGTCCAGGTTGCCTTGCCCTATGGGGTTTCCCAGGAGATGAGACTTTGAATGCTAAATCCAGGACAGTCCCAGGTAAACCGGGGCAGTCAGCCACCCCAGCTCCATCCTCTCCTCCCACTTGCCAGCTGTGCCCCCTCCTCATCCCTGTACACCCCCCACACTGATTAGGTGCCCTCATCTGTGCTCCCACAGGGCCTGCATCTCCTGTCCTGACGCCCACCCAGCTGTGCTGAAGTCGCTGACTTACAGAGTGCTCTTTCTGCTGCCTTATTCATAGTGGCATCTCCGCACCAAACATAGGATCTAGATGAGCTGAACAAGGCGTGTGGTCAGGGCTGGAGGGTGCAGGGGGTTCCACACTGAGCAACCCCATTGCAGCATCGGCTCAGCCCCTTCCCTGCCTACAGACCCGCACCCCAGGGGCAATGCTGTGGTTCCCACATCAGGCAAGAGTATCTGATTGCAAGCAACAGGAAAAAAATCGGAATAACTGTACATTAAATCCCCCCAAGAAGTTATTAGGCAGCTCTGGGGGTTGCCCACATAGCTGAAGGGGGGAGCTCCACCCTCATGACATAGTCCCCTCCCAAAGGCCTTACCCCCCAACACCATCACAATGGGGGTTGGGTTTCAACGTATGACTCTGGGGGGGCACATAAACATTCAGACCATTGCAGTGAGTTTATCAGACTCAAATTGTTCAAGAACCTCATTCATTTTGTGCAGTAATTAAATAGAAGCTGTTTGAAAATATGATTATAGATTGGCCCATCAAAGCAAATTAAACCTTTGAAGAGTAATGGCCTAATTAGCTTCAGAATTCTGCCATTAAAAAAATCCAAATGCTCTGTTGTCCTGAATCAGGATATGCCGGGGCCCTGCTGTAAAAGGCATCAAAGGAACATTAATATCAGGTGGTTGTGGATTCTGAGTGGATGAGGGGCTGCGGGTGTAGACTCACCTGTCAAGATGAACCTGGCGGGCTCGACTTCAGTTCCTTATTTATTTATTTGTTTTCCCTTCGAGGGTCTTCTTTTCAGTAGACAATTGTGTATAAACTGTCCATTCTGGGCCTTCTCGGCTCAAGATCCTGGCGGGCTCCTCCCCTCTGCATCCTTCTTCCTCTCCCAGCCTGAGGCCTGTCTTTTTTCCTTTCCTCCCTTCTTGAATCCAACCCTGCACCTGTGTCTCCTGTTTCCTCTGCGGCAGACAGACTCCCCAAGATCCTTCGCACTTCCTTAGTTTTCTTTTGCTGACCCGGGAGACAAGATGGATGAGGTTCTGGAAGGTTCTGGAATGCACTGGGGAGTCAGGCCCTGTCTCTGCCTGAGACCTGAATCTGTAGAGTAGCTACTCCCATGGGCCTTGAGCGTCCTCTGCTCAGCTTCCTGAGGGCGGGGTTAGGCTTAGGGTTACAGTGACCCCACAGCTGTCATCATTTACATCTCCTCTCTCAGTAGCAGTGCCCTGGCTTCCCCAGGGGGCCCTCCCTCCACTGGGGGTCCATGTAGATTGGGCTGGTTAGCCTCACCCCGTGGGCCCAGGAATGGACACGTGATCTAGGCCTGGCCAATCAGAACACTTGATTCCCCTGGGCTTGGCGCTTCTGGTGCGATGGTACTGCCAGAGGCATTAGTCTTGGAGCTGCCACTAATTCTCATCTACTCCGGACACATTTCCTTCCCTCCTGGAGCCCCTGTTGCCTCATGGGAAGTGAAGGTGATGGACTTGAGCAGATTCTAGAGCAAAGTGGGCACCAGAACCACCTGGGAGACTTCTGGGCCTCACCCCCTAAGTGCGGGACTGGGAGTGTGCACTTTGTAAAACCCCTCTGGGTGACCCTGGCCTGCCCTGATTCCCGGAGGAGGTTGTCTTGAGAGCCCCCAACCAGGAGAATCCTCTGATCCTTCCAACACCCCCAAATTCCTGCCCTGGCGAGGCAGCTAGAGCCGAGACTTGATTTATTCATGCTCATTACGGGCAAGTTTGCAGAGTTGTGGGGAAGACGGGCCAGCAGGCTGGGTTGCAAATGAAACCCGAACACATTCTAAATTATGAAATGCACAAAAACCCCGGAAACTAGGCTCTTTCATTCAGATCGGATGGAGGACCGGATGCTGTAGCCTTGGCAACGCAGTTGCAGAAAAACAAGTCTTTCTCCTGCCAGCCAGCCTGGCACTGAGACGAGGAGGCTTCCATCCTGGACGGGAGTCAGCCCCCACCCCAGGTGCCTGGCCCTACACTGCCTCTTGGTTAACCTCACTCACGTGTGTTGATTTGTGAAGCCTGGAGGGAAGAGGGAAGACTGCCTAATTCAACAAATTTGCTGGCCATAGCATGAAAAATGCACACCTTGGGGTCATGTTGATGTAATTTCCAAAACTCTTGCAAAGCAATTCCCATTCCTCCATTTCTTTAATCTCGTTGATAAATGGGCCCTATAATTACATCTTCTTTCGAGATGTCCAGCAAAAATAAACTCTAAGCTTAGAAGATAAAATAGTTGCTTTGTCATTGTATTAAGCAAAGGCGACAGGGACACGCTCTGGATAAATTTAGCTTTACGTTCAATTTATTCCATATTGATTTTCCTGAGTGTGATTTAAGCAATTACCTCCGAGCTAATTCTTAGTTAAAAAGGAGAAGTTAAGAGTCATACAACACAGACATCAAGATCTTGGGGCTTTATGATGGACAGAGATGTGGGGACTGGGCGTCCAGCTGCCACTTGCATCCTGTTTTTATAAGTTGTGGGTCAAGCATGTGGGACGAGCCATAGGGTGCCACCAGCTTCCACAGCCACGGCGTGGGGCTGAGCTGGAGATGTGGTCGTTCCACTTCACAGGTGGATACACTGAAAGACACTGAAGTGTCCCCAGATGGGTGGGAGCTGGATGCTGTGTCCTCCCCTCCCGGAGAGGTCACAGGCCACTGACTATGTCACCAAGTCAGCAATGAAGTGGGCTTTCCCTTAGGCCCAATCTGAGACCCATTTCGTTCATTCACTCTGCAGGGATTTACGAGAACCTTCGAGGTGTCCGGCCACATGCTGGGCACTTACTCCCTGACAGACAGATCTCCCTTTGCTCTGTCCCTCAGGAGCATGTAGTGGGGAAGGGTACAGGCCCTATGGAGAAGGCAGACTTGATGCACAAAGATGGCTGGAGGAGGAAAGGATATGACAGCGGATTGGGAGACGAGGTGGGGGCGGGCAGGCAAACTTGGCAATGCAAACCCATGGTGGCCCACCCCTGTGGACTCAGCTTCCAGGTGGGGCAAAGGTCTCAGTCCCAGCTTCTGCTCTTTCAGGTCTCCCCACCCTATTAATGTGTGGGTTGATGGCGCTTGTCCAGGACACGTAGGCTGTGAAATAATGTTCAGTAGAGTTACAGCCACAGTGGTTAATAAGGGGAGAAAGTCCGGAAAGAAATCTTGGTAAGTCTAGGTACCACTTATCCAGCACCGTTGGGAAAGGCAGACCCCCTCCACCCCATGGAGGTGGGGGGTGTCGTCCTGCTGCAGCAGGAAGTGGGGTGCATGCTGCCACACCGCCAGGTTCAGTTGCTGGGTGGATCCACTGGCCACGGGGCTGGATCTTGCGTGCTCTCTCTCCTCTCCTCCTCTAAGTAGATATGGCACCCTGCAGCCTAGGGTGCGTGTGCTATCTGTCCTCAGCCACCTCGAGTCATGCACTGGTCTCTTCTCTTCCCTGGGGGGCACTTATCTGCCTTTTAACCTTGTCTTCACACCTTGGTCATTCTGTCTTGCGGCACAGCCTGGCCACCCAGTGAACAGTAAAACAAGCTACCGCACGACCGGAGCTTGAGCCCATTTGATCATCACGGGCAGCCGGATGGATGGAAATGCCCCCATTTGTCACACAAGAAAGTTAGGGGCTTGGTGAAGGCTGTGGCTTGCTCAGAATGACATGAGTGTGATGCGGACCCTGTCTGTCTGATTCCGAGGTACTGCCTCTGTACGGGGGAGACTCGGGAATGCAGTCAGTGTTGAGTAGCCCCAAAGGCAGAGGGGGCCGGGCGGGAGGGAGACCTGCCAAAAGGGGTCACTGAAACCAGGGACAACAGGCCAGGATTGGGGGCCGGCCTGTCCCCCAGGTCAGGCATTGGGTCTTTGTTCTCCTAACGTCTTAGTCTCTAAGACACTCCGGAGACTTGGAGGAGGCTGAGCGTGCTAGGGAGGGTCTCTGCTGACCTCCACCCCCAGGTCCTTGGCCAAACCTTGGTCTGGCTCTGCAGGAGTCTGTCTGAGCTTGGGTCACCTGACCACAGCCCAGTCCCCAGGGAGTGGGGAGAAAGTGAACTCTTGCCCCCTCCACTCTCAAACAGGAGAGACAGGGCCACACTGGGCCCGGCACTGCCCATGTGTGGCGGGGCAGGGAAGAGCCCGCTGGAGTGAACTGGCTTTCCTCTCTGCCCAAGGGCAGCGTGGCCTCCTGGGAGGGACTTTCATTGTCCTCAGGGCGTCTTCTCTCCAGGGGAGGAGACAGCAGGCAGGTGTGTGTGTGTAGGGGGGATGTGTGATCTGCCAGCACCGTGGGCTCGGGGGCTTTGGGTGTAGGTTTCTCTAAGGCTGAAGGGAAGGTTTGAGACCTGGGAAAATCAATCATTGGCTGTGAAATATGGAAAGAAAATTACAAAATTGTGATCAATACGAGTTTAATTAAACATCCACAAAATGTCACGTTATGTGGCTAGTCAACAGTGACATGGCTTGACTCTTCGTGGTTGGTTGTAAATGCCATTTACTAAGGGACACAGAGGCCCTCCGAGGCGCTGAGGGTGGGGGAACGGGCGCCTGTGTTGGTGTTCTAGGGCCCCTGTAACAAGTTACTGAAGGCTGGGTGGCTTAAAACAATAGAACTTTATGTCCTCACGGTTCTGGCTCCAGAAGTCTGAAACCAAGATGTCAGCAGGGCCATGCTCCCTCCGAGGGCTCCAGGGAAAGATCCTTCCTCGCCTCTTCCGGCTTCTGGTGGTGTGGCTGCAACCCCTGGTGTCCCTTGGCTTGTGGCTGCATCACTCCAATCTCCACCTCTGTGGTCACACAGCTGCCTTCTCTGTGTGTGTTTCTCCGTGTCCCTCCTTGGAAGGACACCAGTTGTCTGATGAGGGTCCACCCTAATCTAGAATGAGTTCAACTTGATTACATCTACCCAGACCCTATTTTCAAATAAGGTCACAGCCTGAGGTTCCAGTGGACATGAGCTGTGGGGGTACACTTATTCAACCCAGTATAGCCTCCAAAGTCAGAGTACCCAGAGCCAGGAAGGACGCGAATGGTCTGTAGGGGAGGGAAAAGGGGCTGTCCCTCAAACGTCTGGGTTGGGGACTGGGATTGTTTGAGTGTCTGACCTGGACCAGGTCCTGCTCTTAGCAGGTACAAGTTTTAGGTCACTGAATTCTCCCATCCAGCACAGGAAACAGGTCCTGCTGTTACTCCCAGTTTACAGACGTAGACACTGAGGCTCTGAAAAACTAACTTGTTCAAGGTCACATGACTGGTAAGTAGGAGAGCTGGGATTTGAACCCACATCCCAGCAATGTGGCTCCCAGGCTGCACACATGCTCAGGCCCCCACAGGGCCTCACCAAGCAGGCGGCAGGCTGGGCGGAATGAGGGAGAACGATGCCTGGTGTCCCAATGCCTGCGTGGCAGGGCCCCTCCCCGAGATGGAGAACGATGGGCGTGGAGAGGGTTTGGGGGTGTGGAGCTTGAGCCGTGAGAGAAGTCAGTGTTGGACATGTTGAGCAGGAGAGAGCTATGGGATGGCACCTGGTCACTTGGGACACGACTTTGTCAGTGGCCAAAGTCCTCAGGGGACCAGAAGTAGGGTTGGGACAGGTTGCTGGGAATTTATAGATCCAGAATCTGAATAAGTCAGATGAACAACTCTCGCACCTCCCCCAGCGCCCATGTGCGCGCGTAACTCTCCCCTCCCAAGCCGGGCCGAGTTCCGCCTTGTCTCGGCTTTCCTGAAACTCCCCTGGCAACTCTCCTTTCTCTGCTTGTGTAGACCACAGCCACAAATGATGCCTATTTTAGGACGTACTTCGTCTTCCCGTTGTTTCTTCTCCCACTGGTTCTATTCGCGTCCCTTGTTTGGCACAAGGTTTTGAATTGTTGGTTTTTGTGCTAAATTCATTTCCCAGAAATGTCAAGCATCACCAAGGCCACCGAGAGTGGGACACACGCTGTTCTCTGTCCTTTGTTGGGTGGCTCTTCTTTTCATACACAAATGCGTTCTTTCATCTGGCAGCACGGGAGCCTCTGTACCTTGAACCACGCCAGTAGCTGGGGTCTCATCCACCACGTAGGTGGGGCTGCCCCCTGTGTCCCCAGCCCTTCAGAAACAATTGCTTAATATTCGATGCAATTATTTGACATTTGCATCAGATGTTTGATGGAGAGAGGAGGGGTGGCCAAGGTTTTCCAGCCCTAACTGAATGGTGCCGCCACAGTTCTGGGCCTGACCCAGGCAAACACAATCCCAAGTTCTCTGCAAAAGCAGTCACGGGTCTGTGCATCGCCCGTGCTCCTCGAACTGAAAGGAGGCTCCTCCTCCCTGCCCCTCCTTCTGTGCTGTCCCGGGCAGACCCAGCCTTTTGCTCCGCTTCCTCGAGACCTTGAGATCTGCCAATTCAGCACACGTCTGCTCCTTGGGTGTCCTCTTGAAGCTAAACCCTGTGAACAGTTGTAAACATTACGAGGCGGCTCTGGAGGGTGGAAACTTTTATGGCCACATCTATGACAAAGTGTCAACGAGGCTGCTTGCATTTTTTTCATAAGTAGTTTGTGCTTCTTCTGAGCTTGGAAGACACAGCAGCAGACCTGTCCCTTGGGGCTGTGGGCTGGGGGAGCCGGTAAGCGGCCTCGGTGGAGGGTGGGATGAGGGTGACTGGCAGGTCCCCCTCTGGGGGTGGTCTCAACTCAGTGGTGAGCCTTAGGGTATTCATGAGTGTGGAGACCACAGCTGAGTCAATAACAATAATAAAAATAACATTCATGTACTTGCTGCGTGCCAGGCACTGCTGTCAGTAGTTTATGAGTATTAATGATTAAGCTCCACAACAATTCCGCTAATTGCCGGCAATGCCCTTGTTTAAGGCAGGTTCATAGGTAAAGGTTGTGAATTAAACTGTGTCTTCCCAATAGACGTTCAAGTTCTAACCCTGCTACCTGTGAAAAGTGGCCTTATTTGGAGATAGAGTCTTTGCAGATGATCAAGCTAAGATGAGGTCCCTAGAGTGGGTCCTAATCCGATATGCTGGTGTCCTTAGAAAAAGGGGAAATTTATACACAGAGACACGCAGAGAGGGAAGAGGATCTGAAGACGCGGGAAGAAGATGGCCATCCACGTACGAGTAGAGGGGGAAGGCCTGGAAAGGACTCTCTGTCGTACCCCAAGATGGAATGAGCCCTGCTGACACCCTGGTCTCGGACTTCCGGCCGCCAGAGCTGTGAACGACACATTTCTGTTGTTTAAGCCACCCAGCAGCAGGTGCTTTGTTATGTCAGCCCTAGCAGACAAATAAAGCAGCAACTGTTTGATGAAGCAAACACTTCACGGGAGACCGGAAAGGCCGTGGGGACAGTAGCAAGTGAGCAGGGTGATTTCACAATCGTGCTTGGGAAGCAGCGGGTCGGGAGGGTTTGGGCCATGGAACCAATCTGTGGCTCCTTGGTGTGACAGGAACTTGATCTTAACAGAACATAAATTGTACAAATGGTGACCTGAGTCAAGACATCAGAGTTGAGGAGAGAGTAGGACTCTCACCTTCTGCCCTTGAGCCATTCATTCATTCACTCACTCATTCATTCAAAGAAGCATGTATTGAGCGCCAGTTATGGACTGAGTCTGACGATTAAAGAAGATTGAGGGGATTTTTTTAAAACTTGGATTAATGATTTTTTTTAAAAAAATTCTCTTTTATATGGCTATAATATCAATTTGATACATAGTTAGGTTCATTTATTTATGTTCTTAATCATTTTTAGGCATTCCCCCCAACTTTATTGAGTTGATTTTTGATACAAAAGTGAAAACTATATCAAAAAGGTGTAGTCAGTAAACAAGGATCCCAGCCCTACCTACCCCCCACAAAGGGTAACCAATTTTCCTAATTTCGAGGTTATCCTTCTAGTGTTTCTGTTTGTAAAAATCAGCAGATGTATATGTGTTTCCTTTCCTTTCTTTCTTATTTAAAAAAATAGCCCCACAGTAAATCCTTTTTCATATCTTGTTTTTTCTCCGCTTAACAACATATTCTGGAAATCACTTCATGTCAGAACATGGAGCTCTTCATTTATTTTATTAACAACCGCACAGTGTCTATTGTGTGGATGCCCCACTGTTTACTCGAGCTTCCTCCTACACAGGGGGATCTACTGCGGATACGCTGCACTTGCTCCCCATGTGCGCAGCTGCTTAGCATTGCCAGAGCGCATCTTCAGGGTAGATTCCTGGGCGTGCGATTGTGGGTTAGGGGCAAATGCATGTAGTTTTGTTAGATATGATCAAATGTCCCTCCACAGGAGGGTTGTACTATTTTATTCTTCCATGAGCAATGTATGCAAATGCCTGTGTTTAGGGGTGGGTGGGTGGAGACCCTAATGGGCCTATCAACACAGACCCTCATTCTGTGATATGCCCACTGACAGGGATGGAAAGCAGGTGGATGTACGTGCATGCCTGCAGGAGGGTTCTCTTGGAATGAGGCAGGGCAGGGGCTCCAGAGAAGGTGAGAGTCAAGCAGCCACTAGTACTCTGCATAAGACACCCTGTTCCTTAGAGAGAGGTCCTCGGAAAAAGTCCTCCCTCAGGCCATCCGCTGTCTGCTCTCCCCTCCCCAGGGGGCAGAGCCGGGAGGGAGAGTCTGTCCATCCACCATACACGCGTCCACCTATCCACTCATCCCTTCATTCAGCATTTCTGCTGTCAACCCTGTGAGGCCACTGTGCTGGACACACACACCCCATGTGATGCAGACACGGCCCCACTCTTGATGAACTCACAGTCTAGAGCACAGGTGCACACAGGGTGGTCCCCACCTTCAGTGGGTGTTAAGTTCTGCCCGAGGAGCCGGTCAAAGAGAACAGGGGACCCGTGAGAGCTGGCTGGGGCAAGATGGCGGCTGGGGCAAGATGGCGGCTGGGGCAAGATGGCGACTGCATGCCGTCAGGAGGGCAGGACTGCAGGTGTGCCTGGGGCTGGGATAACCATGTGAGTCTCTCACTCCTGAGAGGCAGCGTAACTGAAGCATGGTGCTCTGGAACCCGACGAACTGGGTTCAAATCCCCACTTCTCCACCAACTCATGATATTTTTTTGGGCAAAAACATACCCTTTCTTTGCCTCATGGATCCTCATCTACAAAGTACGGCTTCATTCATTCATTCAAGATCTGCTTACAGAGCACCTACTATGTGCCAGGCCTGATGCGAGGCTGTGGGATACATCTGTGAACAAGAGCGACAACCATTTCTGCTCATGTAGAGCTTCCATTATGTTGGGGGGAAAGAGCAATAATATAATTGGGTAAAGATATGATAAGTAAGTAAATAAATAAATACAGTTTAAAGAAGTTTAAAGAAGGACAGTCTGTGCTCTGTAGCTCCTTCTGGGTGGTGGTTACCTGGATGCATTTGTCAAGACTCATTGAACGACACACTTAAAATCCATATCCCGTATTGTGTGCAAATTGTTCCTTGATAAACATAGTATTTAAAGTATGATGGTCAGAATGGACCTCATTGAGACAGGGAGGTTTCTGCAAACTAGGAGGAGGGGAAAGAAGTCACACAGGAAAGGTGTGAGGGACCTGGGAGGCCCTGAGCAGGGGTCTACTAGAAGAGTCTAGAAAGCCGCCTTGTGCTACAAAGCCTGGTCATACCCTCTCTGGTTGATGGATGGGTCAGCTTTGACCAAGGAAGACAAAATGATGGAGCAGTGCTCTGCCCCCCGACAGAGCATTGTGGAGGGCATGTGGGTTTACCTAGCCCTTTAGTCCCAGATGAAGGTCTGTATCAGTCAGGTTTTATGCAATAATGCTGTGTAACAAGCTACCTAAAAAATCGTAGTGACTCACAGCAAAAATATTTATTATTCTTGTGCATGGGTCTGTGGGCCAGCTGGGGCATGTGTGGGCTCGGCTCTGCTCAGCTGGGTCTGCCTCCACAGCATGAGCTGGGCTCAGATCTGTAGCACAGATGTCTGTATTGTTCTGGGACCACAGGCACGTTTTCCAATCTCTGCTCGTATCATATCTGCTGAAGCAAGTCACACCGCCAAGGCTAATGTCAACGGGGCTGGGGTGTGTATCTTACCCCACAGCAGGAAGTACTGCAAGTCACAGGGCAGGGGGTCACGAATTGGGAACAATAATCCAATCCACTCCAGTATCTCTGAGCAAGACAGGGATCTCTGATCTTCCCAGGCAAAGAAGAGCCAGCATGCCCTGGGTTTCAGCCACCTTTGCCCACAGAAGTCCTTGAATGAGTGACAGGGAGAAATGGCAGGCACTGCAGTCATTGTTGCTGTTCTTGATGAGGGCGCTGGAGTGGGCAGGGGTGAGGCTCTGACACCTCAGAGATGTGGCACTATCTCCACCTGCCTTCCTGGATATGATCTGGGATCTTCCAAGAGCCCTGCCCAAATTCTCTGGGTTGGGAATGTTTTATGGACATAATAGGAAGAAACCTCCATTATGCCATGCTCTGTGATCTGACAGAGTGGCTTGAATTTAGGGTTTTAGTCTGTATCCTCAGCAGAAAAAGCTTTCATTTCTAAGCTTTATCGAGCAGTGTGTGTGTGTGTGTGTGTGTGTGTGTGTGTGTGTGTGTGTGTGTGTGTTTAAATAATGACCTATCTGCAACTTCTGAACAAAGCATAATAAAAGTGACAAATACTGGTACATGGTACACAGATTGTCATTTTGGATTTACTGCCCCCCAACTTTTTCCCCGGTAAGTCACACAAAATTTACACTTTGGGTCTTAATCCATCATTCTATCTTTTAATGCAATATCTAATCTCACTGCTCTTTTCTTCTCTTAATACGGTTTTTCTTGAGGTGCATTTACAGAACTGGTTTTTATCATTTGCAAAGTGTTTAAAATAACACATTAGCTATAAATCAGAGGCCTTTATTGGGATGCTTGAAAAGTTGCTTTAAACACAATAAATTTAGTACTTTGATTCATCCTGGGAAATCTGACAGGAGCAAGAGTAACTGAGGCCCCTTTGAACTCTGGGGACCAGGGAATGATCCCTTCAAGGTGAAAACTGAGTACTTTTAACAACAGAGGCCTTCTTCAACCTCAAGACTTCCAATTTTGGGGAGCAGGATTCAGGAACTGATGTCATACAATGTGGGTTGGTAGAATCTGTAGGAGCCAGATAAATCTTGGTTTGAATTTCAACTCAGGCACTTTCGTGCTATGTGAACTTTGGCTAGACACACAGCCTCTCTGAGCCTGTTTCCTATCTGTAAGCAGGAGATGGGCTGTCTGCCTCCAAGGCTTTGGTGAGAATGAATGAGGAGGCCGGTGGGGGGAGGGGTGCCTGGCACTCAGTAGGTGCTCAATATATTTTTTGTTTACTCAAAGAATCAAGGCCTCCCCCTCCCTGATTGGCCCTGGGTCCTGGCTCCTCTTGGCAAGAGCGAGGCAGCCCCACACGTCTCACAGAGCGCCCAGTAAGATGAAGGCAGGACCCAGCAGCCATCCCCCTGGGTCACAGCACAGCGTCGTGGGGGCCTTGCAGGCCCACAGCACAATATGGTCGCAGTCAAACACGAGAGGGGGTCGTCCACCCCCATGTATGTCTCTCTCTCCCCTCCCCTCCCTCTACTTACTCACCTATCATCTTTAAGGCCATGATGTGGCTCTGACCCAGGCCCTGCTGTGTCTCCTGCTTCTGGTCTCCTTGCTGTCTGAACACACGGGGCATGCTGGACCCCAGGGCCTTTGCACTGGCTGCTCCCTCTGCTGGGAGGTTCTTCTCCCTGACACCACGCAGTAAGGAGTGTCCAGTCTAGGGGAAGGCCAGTCTGGACACAGATGCTCCCAGTCCAGTGGGGACAGGGCTGGGGGCAGGAAAGGAGGCGTGGCTGGGGGACTAGAGGGGGCAAGGGCTCTGCCTGGGGGCTGGGGCAGGTTTGAGCCGGCAGAGACAGGGTGTGGGGGAGCAGCGTCCTGCCCTCCCCTCTCTAGCTCCACCCTCCCCGCTCTCATGTTCTTCCACAGAGACACGCCTTTAGGTGCTTTCTCACTCCACTCACTTTAGCGGGGGCACCTGCAGCTTCTTGTCACCTTTCCAAAGCCTCTGGTTCTCAGGGACCTGCTCATGTCACACCCTCTCTGGGGAGGGGCCCCCAACTGCTCTGGCCCAACACCCTCCCTCCACCCTCTCCAACTGTGAAGCCCTAAGGGCGGCCTTGTGAATGACCAGTGTTCCGCAGATCCCTGGACAGGGAGAAAGTCCCGGAGGAGGCTCACATGTGGTCACACTGCTTCCGGGGCTGCTTTCCAC